CCCCAAAACCCCAAAACCCCAAAACCCCAAAACCCCAAAACCCCGGAACCTTTAAAGAAGATTGAACGGTGAAGATAATAAAATTAGAATAGAGATTCTGCAGGTTCCCATTCGCCAACGAAAGGATCGAAAACTATTTTGAACAATTTGGTATCAGATTCTTCTCGGTCAAAGGTCAGAATTAGTGGTTTCTCGCCATAATGACCTTGGAAGTAGAGCTTTATTTTAAGCTCTGAGGGTGAATGTTCGGTTAGGGGGAAATTATGAGGCTCCTTTATAGATGTCTTCAAACTTTTTAGATCCCTTCCGTTTTTCATCTCAACCTTAGGAAACAGACTGTAGTAATTATGCTGCTCGTCTCTACCACTAACAGTCACTTTCTTGTCCTTGCAGCATACTTCTACAAAGCGGTTAATTTTCCATTTCGGGATCTCTATGGTAAGCTTTTCCATTAATCTTTCGATCACATCATCACATTTAGCATGGATATTCAGAGCTGCATGTTCATCAAGTGGAGTTCTTTGTAAGTTTACAATTACAAGTTTTCCTCCGTTTTCAGCAACTCTGAGAGGGATGTCAGCTGCAGGAGTAACTCTTAAGCTTGAGCCCATACTGAGACATATGTCAGCACATTCAGCGTGGTTGAAGGCATTGTTAAGATCTTCTTCTGGCAAGTTTTCTCCGAAGTTAATGATACTATCTCTGAGAGGACCTCTGCAACTAGGATCATCACATAGTCGACCCGTCTTGTGAGCCTTAGCCTTCTTAGCGTTCCTTACTCTGAAGTCTCTGAGGTACTGTTTACCACAATCCTTGCATTTCTCGAGATTAGTGTTACCATGAAGCTCAGAGATTTTTTCAGCAGGAACTCCACTTTTTCTGTGTAATCCGTCAACATTCTGAGAAATTAAAAATTTCATCAATCCTGATTCTATCATAGAAACGAAGGCCATATGAGTCTTGGAAGGATAGGCCTTGTGCATTGAGACACTGGCACCCTTCTTAGGCTTGACTGGCTTTTTCTTCTTCTTATTTGCTGCAAGCTCCCAGCAGCCAGGACCTGTGGGGAGGACAGTATCCATTCCACTTCTAAAATCAGGGATGCCACAAGCGGTGCTTATTCCAGCTATAAAAAGGTTAGACTACATTGGAATGATCGGTCTTACCTCCTGTGAATGAGATGAAATGCTCAGAGGAGAGTATCCAGGTTGCAAGCTTGTCTATCTTCTCTTCAAGTTCTTCTTCAGTGTCGAAGTATTCCTTCTTTTCTTCACTAGTTTTGATTGCTGTATCAGCCATAATTAATTATTAATCTATGCAAGCATTTTTTAAATACCTTCAAAGATCTGGATCCTTATAACATACTGATTCAATTCCGACATCGGAAGAGGGGTTTTGGGGTTTTGGGGTTTTGGGGTTTTGGGGTTTTGGGGTTTTGGGG